ACCCCTGCCGCCCAGGCTCCCTGCCTGCCCCGGCCCCCCAGCCCCAGCCCTGCCCACTCACCCCTGCCACCCAGGCTCCTGCCACCTGCTCTGCTGGGTGTTCATGGAACCCACTTACCACTTCCTCATGAGCAGAACCAAGAGTGACTGTGTGCCTGACTCCCTCATCAAAACGCAGAGACCGGTTAAACGAGGCAGGTGCGAGCCCCAGGCGCTCCCGAGGCGGGAAGAGCCCTCCCCTTGGCCCTGAGTGTCCGGCGCAAAGCCGGCCTGCAGCGAGCCCAGTGCAGACGGCCCCTTCCACCGCTTCTCCCAGGCAGGCCGCCTGCAAGAGAGCAAAGTGCATTTGCGCGGGAACTTGTGTCTGCCGAGAACGGGGCCTGGCCCTCTACTCTTACCTCCTCCCGATCCTCCTGAGGACCTGTGCCCTGTCCCCGGTCCCTGGCCAGCTCAGCCTGGAGAGGCTTTTGGAGGCTCCACACCCCAGCCTTGGCCAGAGCTGACTCTCAGATGGCTGTTTGGGCCCCGATCCCTCTCATGACAGCGCTGCCCTCGTCCTTTGCCCTCTACTCAGAGAGGATCTAGGAGGGACCGAGGAGGCCATGGTCCCTCTCTGAGCTTTTCAATGCAGGTCCCCTCCTTCCCCTCCTGGGTCTTGGCTGGTCTAAGCTCCACACGAATCATGGAGAGCGCTGCGTGTCTGGGTCTTCCCGGGGAGGAGAGTACCGTTTCCTCTGAGCTCCTGGGAGGGCTGCACCTTGAAGATCAGGACGCAGCGCCAGCCTCACCCTCTGTGATCCATCCCCACCTTCCCTCCTCACTCTGGGTCCAGGGCCTGGGATGAGCCAGGACAGGAGGAAGCAGGGACAGCCCTGGGTGTGGCCCTTTCTTCCTACTGGGACCCATAGGAGGGGGCCACACCACCCACCCCGGGGGCTGACCTGTCCTCAGGATAGAAACCAGCAAGCTGACAAATCTGAGGGTCTACAACTGAATGAAGGGGTGCTGCCACCAGGAAACTAGACACAGACGTCTCCTTCCTCACAGACCTGGGCCCTTAGCTTCTAGACAGCATTACGATTCACTGACAGGTGGTGACTTTACGTCAGCCTCCCCTCTCTGCGGCCTCACACTGCAGCCGTTCACGGCCACTCAGCCTTCTAGGGCAGCAAGGAGCTCAGCCCCACACCCGGCCACGGTCAGAATGAGACCCGGCGTCAGGACTCCCCTCAGTGCCGTCCACCCCCGAGTCTGGGCGTTTCAACCTCCAACAGGTGAAGAGAATGTGCACCTCACACCCCCATAAAGGGAGGACCTGCAGATTTCCCCCAAATCTTGACCCTTGAGTTCTGGAAAGGGGTCCTTCCCGGAATGTATTAGAGCATTATTCTGAAAGGCAAAAAGGCCTTGGTGCCAGTCGCCCTGCCTGGGGCCCTTTGGTCCCTGGTCCTGTTCAGCTGCCAGTACATGTTTATGGAGACACTGGCCACGTGGCGCTACGTGTGACGTGTGCTCCCAGGGAGGTCTCAGAGTAGAGCTTGACTCCTTCAAAAACAAAGTCTCTCTCTGTTTCGGCTGGTGAAGGGTAATGGCATTTGGTCTGCACAGACCTGGGCTGTGGGGCTTGATCAGTTACCTGACCTCTCTGGATCTTCCTTCTCATGTGACATGGGATGGCAGGGTGGATTTGAGGACTCCGGGGAGTGAGAAGAGGACACCAGGTTTGCAGGATGCTGAAGGGCCAGGAAGCACAGCCCAGCATCACCCCCCCGCCCAGCTGCCAGTCCTCCTGCTAGGGCACTCCCCCGCCCAGCTGATAGCCTTTGCCCGTGAGGGCTCCGCTTTTGTTCGGACCTTTCCCTGGGGGCAGGAGTCCTTGGCTATAGCTTTCTATTGTGGCTCCAGTCCTGCCTGGCCTCCCCCCACACCTCCTGTCACCTGCCTGTCTCCTTGGGCTGGGTCCAGCCTGTTCTGTTGAGGGTGCTGGGAGCTGTGCCCTGGGATGGGGCAATGGGCAGGGGTGGACCCCGCTATGTATCCAGACCTGGGAGAGGGTGATGGAGCCACCTGACTTGGGCCGGGCTCCAGCAAAGGCCTCCCTCACCTGCTGCCCACACTAGCCAGGGCAGGCTCCCTGGGGCCATAGCGGAGGCCAGGCTGTCTGCCTTCAATGCCTTCAGAATCTGCTCGGAGGAGAGCTGGCTGTCTTCTCTCTGTCCTGGCCTGAGGGACACTGTCTCCCTCTAATAAGCTGATTATTGGGAGCTGTGACTGGCAGGCACCCAAACCCTGAAGCCAGGTGGCTCTCGCTTCTGTCTACCCAAATCTCCACGTCCCTGCCCCTTCCCTTCACCGATGGGTTCCACGTTCTTCCAACGACTCCATGCCTGAGTGCAATTCACAAAGAAAGAACTGGGAAGGGACCATAGTGTCAACTCCAGGCTCAGCTGGCTCTGGGCGGAGCATGATGGTGCTCACTGAGTGTGGGACATTGTTTTAGGCTGCATTAACAAAGGCCTGACATCTACAGCAAGGAGGATGCCACGCTCGCCTCTGCAGAGGTCACTCCACACTTGCGCCCTGCGTTCTGAGGTTTGCACTTTACAGCGGCCAAGGAGGAAACAGTGCCGGCTGTGGGAGGGAGAGCTGGAAACAGCATTCGGGGAAGCCGCCGAAGGCAAACACAGAGTAACAGGCGCAAAACGTGGCCTGCCGCGGGGCGTCTTGGGAGGTGACCCCATGCTAGGAGAACATCCCTGTGCTAGGCCCCTGGGCTCAGGGCTCCTCCCATCTCGTTGTCCCCAGCCTCTCTGTGTGCCTGTCCTGGTCCCTTCATTCCTCTGTGTCCTAAGCTGCTTTCCTCTCCCAGTAACCTGTGGTCAGAAAGAGTGAGGTGACCAACTTGTCCCAGTGAGCCTGCGCCTGCCCAGTTTTAGCACTGAGCGTCCCATCTCCTGGAAAAGCCCTGGCCACCGAGATGGTTGGTTGTCTCAAGAGGAGTCTCAGTGGCCCCAGTCATTAGCAACAGAGAAAAAAATCCCCAAAACCCTTGATCCCCTATCCTCAAGGTCAGGGAGGACACAGGCTTCAGGACACCCGCCTGACAGAGCTTCACCTCTTCATGTCTTCACTAGAGTGACACTAATCACTTAGTGAAGAAAGACTAAGCCAAAGCCTTCTGCCACTACCCCCATGGAACATCAGCTGGGTGCACAGCTCTCTCCGGAGTACAGGGCAGTGAATTCCTGCTCCAAAGACGCCTATCCTCTCGCCAGGAGAGTGAGGCATTTTCCAACAGCATCAGACAAACAGCCTAAACAGAAGACTCAAGGCAGAGGCTCTGGCGAGTTCTCTCCTGTTTCTTTCCTCCAGGCTCAGCCTGAAGTCTCCTGAATCCTTACAGGACTCAGAACTCCTCAGTGGCTCCCTCACTGCCTGTCTGACCTGAGGGAGAGGCAGGCAGGGTGACTCTGCAGGCAGGGGCTTGGACACTGGATCAGATCGAGGGCGAGCTTTCCACAAGACACACCCACCAGCGTGCCACGTCGGTTTACCATTGCCACGGCAACACCCAAAATGACCGCCCGTTTCCGTCGCAATGACTTGATGGCCCAGAAGTTACCACCCTTGTCCTAGAAATTTCCACACAAACCACCCTTAATTTGCATATAGCTAAAGGTGGATGTACGTAAGCCTGCAAACTGCCTCTGAGCTGCTGGCCTGGGCGCATGGCCTACGGAGAGCCCTGCTCAGCAAGCAGGCTGCCTTGGTTGCTGCTGTGTCGGCCACTCCAGCAGAAGTTGCTGTTTAATGCAACCAGCTCACCCTTGAGTTCTTTCCTGGGTGAAGCCAAGAACCCTCCCGGGCTAAGCCCCAATTTTGGGTTCACCTGCCCTGCATCAGGTGGATTTCCAAATTTAAGTGCAAATATGGACAGTTCACATCCCAACCCACACACAGATGGCAAACGCATGGTGAAGACGGATGCTCATTACCGTATGTGCTCCCATCACTGCAGGAGGCTTTCTCATTATTGTTGTTTATAAAAACATGCCTTGTGGTGTTGAGACAGAGGTGATGTCACATATTCACCAAACCTGCATTTTCCCCTCCTGAAGGTACAAGAAAGCTCCTTTTCTATATCTCTCCTGCAGTTAGATGAGCCTATATGATGGACATTTAGTCAATGGGATGGTCACACAGATTATGCAGACCCCTGCCTAAACTGGCCCCCCAAACCTTCTGTCCCATGTCCTGGTGGAGAACCCCAAAGCCCTCTGTAAATCTGCATTGCACCACGTGGGCCCCGCATGGCTGGACAAGGGGAAATGATGACAGTGCCATCCTGAGGGGCTGTTCGTCACAGCAGCTACCGATGCTTACACTGACTCAGGCAGAGATTGGTCTCAGAAGTGCAAGAATGTGGCAGCATATACCTAAAATCCAAGGCACGGCCCAGCCGAGTTTTGTTTGATGAGCATGTTGCCGTCAGTAACTTGGAAGGCAATTCCCTGGCACAGCTCTTCCAGCCCCAGGGGAGCAGCTTGACAAACAGAATTCCAGTGCATGT